CAGTCCTGGGATCCATGCCACTGCAAAGCTCCATGGCTCAGGACACACATAAACCCAGACAGGAGCATGGGTCTATCTGCCCCCTAAAAGCTCGTGTGTGGATTTGTCAGCTTGCAGTTCTGTGACTCTCTCCATTCTTTCCTTAGGCCAAAATTCTCTTCTGTGAGAGAATTCTCGAAATAAAACTTTTTAATGAAGAACAGAAACACATACCCATGTTTTTTTCTCTTCAAGTCTTCAGACTATAGATGGTCAAGTTCTCACGGAGCTCATCTGTCATTTCTCCCTGACAGCCTGAGATTTCCCGTCCCCAAACTAAGAATTACATTTCAACATTGTCTCTAGCCCTCCCTTGTAGGGGACACGTCCAGAAGGCTGGCTCATTGCTATTTGCACATAGTAGGCATCCGATGTAGACTGGCTAAATGAGTGCATGGCTGCAGGGGAGCACGCCACAAGCAATGTGGTAAGCTATGATGATCTGTGTGGTAATGGAAAACTCTTATCCCCTGGCTTAGAAGCGGAGTAATGGCGTGAAGCACTGTTTGTAAGCAATTTTATTTTTAACAATATCATTTTGATTTTGATTGAAATAAAACAGGCTTTAATGCAGGTGAGACTGGCATCAGTGTATCAAAAACTTTATATTCATTTTATAAAAAGGTTTTAAATATTCAAGTATTCATGTGCAAATATTGCCCTTAAATGTGTTCTTAATACACTGCTAAATCCCCAAGGCACAAAATAGAACTACAGAAGTAAAAACTTTCATTTTATAAGACAATATCTACATTTTCCAGTATTTGTTTAGGAGATTATACAATATTTTGGAGGGAAAGTTTTTATTAGATCAATTCTACTGTTCTTTTAAGTGTATTCCAATAAATATTTCAAACAATATGGCAAATAACTGCACATTTTTGCATCCATTATATTTCCTTTTTAAACATTTTGATTTGAAAGAAAGAGACAGGGAATTCTCTACTGATTCCCTATCCAAATGTTACAACAGTGAGGCTGGGTTAAGGCAAGCCAGGAAGCAAGGACTTAGTCTGGATCTCTTTCTTGGTTGCAAGGTGCAGAGACACTTGAGCCATCATCTGTTGCCTCCCAGGGTGAACAGAAACTGTTCACTTAAACATAGCACTCTCACACATTTCTATAAAATTCTTCTGCCTAATGAATTATACAAGATACTTCAGCACTGAATTATACAAGATAGCCCAGGAAATGCAAAATGAGATGCGAGTGCACCAAATGGCTTACCAGCTGCATCAAATGACCATCTCCTTTGGTTTTATTTCTATTGTTTGTAGATATTTTTGAGGGTTTTCATATGCTTATTTTTGGGAGATATGCGTTGTATTTAATTGGCCTTTTTTTTTAAGGTTTTATTTTTACTTGAAAGACAGATTTAGAGATTCACTCCCCCAAAAGTTGCAACAACTTGATCTACGCCAAAACAAAGCCAAGAATCAGGACCTTCTTCAAAGTCTCCCACACAGGTGCGGGGGCTCAACGATTTCCACCATCTTCTGTTGTTTGCCCAGGCCAGAAGCAGGGAGCTGGATCGGAAATGGAGTAGTGGGGACAGAAACTGGCACCCCTTTGGGATGTCAGTGCTGAGAGGTGGAGAGTTGGCATGCTATGCCTCCATGGCAGCCCCTTAACTGGCCTTCTATAAACACCACAGACATTAACATCAACAATTGAAAAGATCTAGAAAATCAATTGAACTTTTTCTGGAATATATTTCATGCTGATCTTAAACAATTTTAACTCCTAAACATGACTCGTAAGACCTGTTTATGCAACTCTTCGTTTCTGCCATCAAAGACAAATCCCACATTGTTCTCTTCTGGCAGAATTTTTATATAAAAAAAGAACTTTTGCAAAGTTCCCTAGGGTAAGAGTCTCCAAGAGAGGTGAGTCTTCATTTTCTCTCTTCCACGAAGCCTGTAATTTCTGGCCTGCTGACCAAGGGTTGCAGGTTTTAATCTCCAGCAATTTGCCTTTCAGGGATCACGTACAATTTTCTCTCCTCCCCCAGTAGATTTCCACTCTTACAGATGTGGGGGGAGAGCCGTGGGAAATTGGGATTGCAATGAAAAATCTAAGGTCATATTATTCACTCACACAATTATAAAAGTTTTAGCCTTTAATCCTTTCTAGTCCTTTAAGTCTGGAAAAATGAAATCACAGAAAATAACACTCTCCCCACCTCTCAAAGACATCCCAAGAAAGGCCTCTCTTTGTTCAAATAAATTCAATCTCAGAGCCGGTTTCATGGCTTGCAAAGCTGGTACTCCCATAAGCTTCAATTCCTGGGTGCTCTGCTTCTGACACGGCGTCTAATAAATGTGCTGGAGAAGGTCATGGAAGATGGAGCAAGTCCATGGGCCCTGCTATCCGTGTGGGAGACCTACATACAATGACAGTCTACTGGGCTCAGCTTGATTTAGCCCTGGTTGCTATGGCCATTTGAGGAGTGAACCAGTGGATGGATGATCTCCATTATCCTTCCTTTCAAATAAATAAATGATTACCAAAGGGGGTAAAAATAAAACACCCCCCTTCGGAAACTGAATTGAAAAGGGTAAATGCAAATATCAGATCTTGGTGGTATTAATTCCAGATGATCACTTTCATATCTCTGTTCTTTGGGTTTCACTCCTTTCTTTGGCTCTGCACTACCTGCATTCTTGAAATTTTACTGAGGTAAATCCACTATGTATATGCATTCATTTGTAAAGGCTTCATCTGAACTAATCACCGTTGAAAATATTTCCGGGTTATACATATCTGCCAGGGTGGAGGCTTATGATAGAGAGGGGAAAAAAGGATCAGGAAACAGATGAAATAGGAATTGGGAAAACATTGGTACTGAGAGACTAGGTGGTGAGGACATGGGATGATAGTACACCATATTTGCATAACTGGACAATATTTGCAATTTGAAAAAGGTAAAAAAAGCTTGTGACAAATTAGTAAATTTTATCACCTTTAGTGTTAATGCTCTTAGCACATATGGAATGGAGTCCATATATTAGGTTTAGCTTCCTGTCAAGCCCTGCTTTCCTTTCAAGAGGCTTCATATTTTATTCAAAGGAATAGATGCAACTGTATGCTACCCACAGAACCAGAAAATCACATGAGCATATTCTGCTAATGATTTTACAACAGCATTGTTGATATGAGCCTCCCTATATACACACATGTAACAGAAGGGAAGCATGCTGGATTATCTTGCATAGTTCATTAGGCAGAAAGAAATTTACAGAAAAGTCTTAGAGTGTTACATGTAAGTTAACTGATGTGAATTTAACTGAGTCCAAGTTTTCAACACCATTAAGTCTGATTTAGCTTACCTCTAAGCAGTAGGCTCCTACAAGTTTATTTTGAAGATTTCAATATCCTTATCAAAACCTGCCAATCTCAGGGTTGAAATCAAAGCAACAATCACCAATAGTAATTTAATGAGCTTTCATACAAGGTTCCACACCAATATTTTCCTATCCTTTTCGTGCCCATAGCAGTGGTGCGATATATTCAGATAAATGAAGTGTGGTTCAGGGATGTTAACAAACAACAATAAACCTCACCAATGGTGAAATGGGTGGAGTCAGAACTCAAAATCATTGAATTCAAACACTGGTTGATAATTTGTGTGTGTGTAGTTTCCCAAAGACACACACCCAGACTAGGGGTCAGGCATGTTGTGCTCCATGCAGCTGGGCTATGAGCTTCGAGAGTACAGCCTTAACGGTTCTGCTGCAGTTCAGGGAAGGCTGTCTGTTCAGACCATTCACCCCAGGGAGGTGTCCCAAGGCTTTTGGCCCAAGTGGGAGACGGAGCATGTCTTCATCCTTTGGACTCACCTTCATTCTTTGTGTTTGGAAAAGGCAGCCCTGGCTGCTCAGACGGTGGTGAGCGTCAAGTGAACACAGTTTAGAGGGAGATGATCACTGGGTGTTCTGGAATGGTTGACATACCATACCTTCACTGAAGGCCTCCTTTCTCCTGAGTGTAGTGAATACAGGACGCGGTAGGAACACAGCCTACAGACGGCAGTGTGAGCATAAAGAAATATATTTGAATAATATCTTTAAAATATTTCAAATTTTTATTAAATATTTTTATTCAGTTTTAAGATCACAGTTAAAGTACTTTAGCATGTTATACACATGACTTACATGTGCAATTTTTAGAAATATCAAATTAGGTATAAGATTTTGAAGAAAGAAATTATATAAACGTGTATATTGACTTTTACTACACATACATCTAAGAAAGCAATAATTTTGTTGTACCATTAAGTGGAAATCATTTATTACATGGCATGTTTACACCAACTCTAAAGAGAACCAAGCTGATTTCTGAAAGCAAAGAAAAAAAGAAAACAAAATCAAACATGAGCAATTCGGTCATGCTGAAACTGTCAACAGACTTAAGACCTGGCAGTCAAATGAAGCTATGGTTAGTTAATTTATGACATGTAAGGAAGCAATTCAAACCTATGTGAAAAATTTATAATCTGGTGGAATCTCAGGTGGTTTTAATTTTTTTTTTGACAAATTCCTGAGAGCAAGAGACGTGTTTAGTGCTGATGAAACTAAAAAAAAAAAAAAAAAAAAAAAAAGAAAAAGAAAAAAGAAAAAAGAAAGAAAACATTGCTGAGCTCCAGATTGCAAACCTTTCCCTGCCCCAGTTCCATCACTCTTAAAGCCGAGGCACACTGATGTGAGGTGTCAGGGGGCATGAAGCCCCTCCAGGTGGGCCGCAAAGTGAAGCCAGTGTGAATGCATGGAACATGCGTGTCTCTGTGGTTTAGGTTTGAGCTAGTGAGGTAAGATTTGCATTGTTGGGTGGAAGGGTTTGGAGACACTGGCACGGCTTCTTGTGACTCGGTAACCAGTTCTGGCCCAAGGTAGCAGGAAATCTTTGGAAGGTGTAGTAATGTTCACAATTACTTGTTTTGTGCATAAGAATCAGTTCAAGGCCAAGATCAGTTTTGAGCACTAACTGTGGCCCTCGAACTTTTAACTACAAGGTATCCTCTCAATGTATTTGTATAAATTATGCCACCACAGATAAAATTTGGCCACAAGAGGATACCCCTTAATTTTAGAAAAATGTATCTGTTTTTTCTTCGAAGGAAAGGATAGCACAGATGGAGATGTATGAAGGAGTCAAATCTTTTTGTCTCCTGTGTTACTCTTGTTGCTTCTTTGTTCTGAAATGTGGGGAAGAATCATGTCCCCCGTGAGAAGAAAAAGTCATTTAATATGGAGTAGAATAACCTTAACTATCACTTCCAAACTAAGCGAAGCGGTCCATCAAACCCTGAATACTTCACCAGACACAGCTGGTAATAGGAACTGAACAATTGCTTCTCTTTTTTATTGTTAAGGATGCTGTTAGTCAATCTAAATATGGTAATTATCAAAAACTCCAAACTCAAATAAAACAAAATTCAAATCAAATTCTTTGGGAATGCTTGTATAAACAAAAGCAAGACCTAATTAACAGTTAGTACATTTTTTATAAGGTGCAAAAGGAGGACCTATGTGGGAAAAGCTAAATTTTCATTTCCACCTAAGCAGTCACTCTGAATACTTTACAGGTCCAATGTAGTAACAGCATTTGCTTCTACTGCCCATTTTCAGCAATACATTGTTCTCTCCGGAGAAGGCCATTTGTGAAGTCAGAACACTGCAGTGAAAAACAGTGGCACTGAAGGCAGAAGCAACAAAAGACAAACTTCTGAAACAGGACTTACTGAAATGAACTTTTAAAGCCGAGGTAGCCTGAAAGGATTGGCCTTGTGTGAGGGCGCTGGGGAGCAGTGCCATCAGAGGGGAATCTCCATCGCAGGCACCCCAACACTCTCTGTACAAACGGTGACTTCAGGCCTTCCCTGATTTCCTTCCTTCTCCGATGAAGCGGTGACGCTCCTCCTCTGCTGTGTGCACACCATCCTCCAGCCTCCAGCTGCGGGTCTTCAGAACACTGACGGTTCATACAGTAGTATAGCAGGCAGCATGGTCCCACTGCTTCACATTAACGCCAAATGCCAAGCTTGGAACAGTTATTTGGTATTTCCCACCCCACCCCACCCTATACACAAAACAGGTCATTTAGTTTTCAGCTTACTCCCATCCAATGAATTTGCAATTTGCTCAAGAGTTTACATAGGTGCAGACTTTCTTGCACAGTGAGCCAATGCCTGCAGCATTATATTTTTTCCTGACTTATAGAAGCATCTGACTTAATCAGAAAATGATGGGGGATGAACATGTTGGATTGCGCATCATCAGACCTGCTTAGATGCTCAGTTTTGTTCATAGTGTTCCATCATTGCTTTATTCTCCAGCAATTTTAACAGCAGGAACTAGAGTTAACAATGATAACGTGGGAATTATTTCAGCATGGCTTCAAGACATGGCATTGGTAAGAGTTTGACAGAATTGCGTAATTTCTGATATCTGTGGGGAAAAGACTGTCTGAATTATACGATCTATCCTGCAAGATGATTTATCATTCAATATTTACTCTTCAGGAGGGAGTCTCATGAATTTATAGTTTGGATCTGAAACATGGGAACTAACCTAATTTGGGGGAAAGAACCTGTATTTCCAATGTGGCCATGGGACATTTTTCCTTTTCCCAATCTCATATATAGTACCCAAATAAAAACAAACTTAAAAGATGTCTTACAGTATTTTGTCTTTCACTCAGCTTCTTAGAGCTGCAGACTCAGTTACTATAAAATACTCTACACACTTCAAAATTACATAGGAAACACCCAGAGTAACTAAATAAATAAAAGGCTACAGAAAACCGGAACAGTACTGTGTCTCCAGCTGAGACAAAATCTTTTGCTTCCAGCATGGCAGAGAAGGGCTAGGACAATTTTTTTTTTTTCCAAAAGATTTATATACAGGTTTGAATCCAGAAAATAAGGTTGAAAGCATAAATATGGGTAATTTCAACTAAATTCAGAATTGGTTTCAGAAAGATATGATACAACAATTTAGAATAGCACAAAGCAGAAGAGCACAAGGTTTTGGTTTGCTTGAGATATACATAAGGTGCAACAACTTTCTCTCTTGAGGATACTGTGGGACCCACGTTAGTGTGGATGGTGGCTGCTGGCAGACTAAAGTACACACCACAGCAACAGATGACTTCTCCTAAATCCAACAGAATGAGAGAAACAAAATGAAAATGCCAACTGTGGGTTGGGGGATAGGAAGAGCTCTACCATAGCAGTCTAAAATATTTGTGCTAACCAAAGTTATCATCTGAAAAGACCAACCCCTCTCCAGTACATTCGGGGTAGGGGAAGCACTACTGCTGGAATCAGGACCTCACCCAGAAACGATAAGGCGAGTGCCTAAGGAACTAGAAAGATTTGCGGGATTTCTGCTACTCTCAGAGCTTAACCACTTAAAAATTAAACATTTTACCAAAAAGAGGGGGGGAGGGGAGGCTTGTTTTAAAGTATCTGAAAACAGTCATATGCAGTAAGTTGCCCTCCTACACCCACCCCTGATTAAGGAAAAAGCCACTGAGGTTTAGGAAAAAGCAGATCAAGTAAGATATTAATCACATAGAAAAAAGTAATATTCTGTTTTGCTTCATTTTTAAAAAAGGTCCCATGAATATACAGCAATCTATTAAAGAAGTCTAGTGAAATGTAATTGGAGGACTGAAGGGGGGTGCGCTGGCAAAAACAGATCTAGTCTAACGTGTTCTACAGAATAACAAGTTAGTACCATTGTCAAGGTGCATGTTCTGCACCATACAATTTGTGTTGTTAGTTTCTCAGGTTTTTTTATTTTTTTGGATTTTTAGCTGATCAGAATTTTTAAATCACTATTAGCATGTGGTCCAAAACTCCAACAGCCACCAACACCAGGACCCAAAAATTTTCAGACATTCACTTTTGCTTTGAAATTTATAAAATATTAATAAAACAGCATCATAATAAAAAATAGTATGCTAAAACCTGGGGCTGCTCACTTATATGTCTATGTGAATGGGGTTAAGGTATAGCTTCTGATTAACCTCTTACTAATTCCTTCTTCCTCCCATCCCCACAGTGAACACGCATTTTTTTAGGATATTATCTCAAAGCTTACTGCCCTTTTTGCCTGCTTTGAAAATAGGAATAACTAGATTTTTTTTCCCAATCCTGTTAGTATGTTGTACATATTTTTCAGCACCGTAACTGAAGTAATATCTACAACCACAAGAAGCTAAACCTAGTCAGTATTAATAGAGTCACTTTTTGTGTATGGCTATTAGGTCAATTTACAATTAGAAAACAAATCATCATTACAATTCAGTGAAGTATAAATAAGACAGCTAGATAAAACCATGTAAACTGTCACCATTTAGAGATCTAATTCAAAAGCTTTCAAACTCGAACCAGCACTATCAAAAATCTGCCAGTTTGAAAACCATTAAAAATTATTGCTGGAATCCAATATTTAAAATTTGGTAGTTTGTGCTGTGACGCAAGAGTGGGGAAATACTTTGTGCTATGGAACAAATACCCTGTTAAATCTGCAGCCTCAGACTAATTTTGATTTATCACTTTGCATCTGTTGCTAGGAAACCAGACACTGTGAACGTCAGGTGGTTATGTCAATATGTTCAATGTTCTAAGCCAGTTAATCCACTTGGCACTGGCATATGTACGGTTGGTTCTATGTTCAAAAGCAATAAAACACAAAAATGAAACAAGAAAGTTGCGGAGGGATCTATGACTGAGAGGTCCACTCTGGTCAGGCACACCTCCCTCTTTATGTACACAATACCTCCTGCACAATACAAACTTGAAATGGCTCTAAACAACTGCAGTGCCGTTAGGCTGTGCATAGCAATTGCAACCCGTCCAGTCTGTCTGTCATGGATGGAAAAGGTCGGGAGCTCCAAGTCCATATGAAGTGAGTGTCTTCAATGTGGTTAGAATAGTGAAGTAATACTAAGGTCACTTCTGAATAATATTTTTGTCTTTTTTTGTTTGTATGAACGATCCTTGGCCACTTAGACCCCTGTGTAAAAATAAAAGAATCCTCAAGGCATGAAAACATTAATAATCTGTAATCTGCAGGACTCTTCCCCTGTCTGGGAAAAATATTTGCCACAATTTGCCCCAAGCAAATTCTTCTTGGTCATTCAAAGCTAAGAAAAAAATTCAGATTGTAAGAATTGTAATTTTTCTCTCTCTCTTTTTTTTTTTTTTTTTTTGCCAGCAAACTACCACTCTGGTGGCAAATATAAAAGTGCAGAATATATGGACCACAAGGCCGAGCATACACCGCTAACAATGGTACATTTGCCTGTCCATGCTGCCTGGGAGTCTAGGAACAGGCTTTTTAATATTTATTCTACAGTATAAATGTAGGTATAACCTATTATATAAACCATCTTAGAACTTAAATCTCCATGTACAAAAAAGACTAAGAATATCTAATAATAACTAGTGCAGTGCGTCAGTTTTTGTTTTTTTTGTTTGTTTTTTGTTTTGTTTTGAAAGAATAACTAGGTAATATATGAAACTAGTTTCACACTCTCTGGTTGGTAAAAGAGATGCTGAATGAGCTACAGTAAAGGCAGCCTTTTACCAAGTTACCACCTGTTACTGCCAAAAGCCTTCAATAGAAAGCAAAGCTCCAGGCTTGTCCCGCCTCTGCTCAGTATCAACAAATAATATCACCCTCAAAGATTCTGGGTTCTGAAAGAACAAACTGGCCAGGATGCTCAATTCTGCTTCAAGTGAATCCGGGCCGCCAGGTAGGGCACAAAACCACTTGTTTGCAGTCTGTATTTTCCACCACATGGACTCACTAGCATCCCTTGGTAAAGACAAGGCTAGGGAAGGAGGTAAAGCACAGGGTCTGACAATTAAAGGGCGCTTCACTGGTCAGCACAAGAAATAAGTACAGGAGCCTGTGGCATTTCTTTTGGCTGTCCATCATGGGTGAGCGGAGTTGATCTCTGACCTCTGCAAAACAAGAAAAAAGGTCACTTACTCAAGGCGTGTATCAGAGGCAGAAGAGGATTTTGAATAACAAATAATAAAAATCTTCCCAGTATTTTCAGAGAAGCTGTTGATGATCGGTTGTTACTTACGTCATTTACTCAAGATTCATTTTGTCCTTTGAGTTCCTTCTCTTTTCCTGCCTCTCTGCCCTCATCATGTTTATTTCAATGACAATGATACAACTCAAGAACATATTCTCTGGTCTCTAACAACTAAACATGTTTTATGGATATGAAACTTGCAGTACCAACACATTAGGTGCAACTCCTTAAGAAGTGGAAAATTTTGAATTAAAGTCATTTCTGGGACAACTACCTTCCTTTTGACCCAATGGGACTAAAAATGACGTATCCTTTGGCTTGTTCCAAGGGGGAAATCTTTTCCTTAATAACTAGTAAACTCTAGACTTGTTTCTTAAGTTATGTAACACACTCAGTGTAAAACTTCAGACTAACAGTAGCATCAATGAAGAGAGAGATTATGATTCTAAATGAATGAAAAGTGAGCAATGAAGAAACAATGACACCCCTCTAATAAAAAAAAGAGAAGTCTCCTAGGTACATAGAGTATATACTGGGGAGGAAGCAAGTACTAACGTGAAATTTCAGATTAAAACAAAAATCCAAGAACCAGCGTTGTGGTGAATCAGGCTGAGTCCCTGCCTGTGACACCAGAATTCCATGTGGACACCAATTCATCTCCCGGCTGTGCCACTTCATACCCAGAGCTCTGGTAACGGCCTGTGAAAACCGGTGAAAGATGGCAGAAGTATCTGAGCCCGTGCCATCCATATGAAAAAACTGAAAGAAGCTCCTGGTTCCTAAATCTGCCTTAGCCCAACCCTGGCTATTGCAGCTACTTGGGGAGTAAACCAATAGAAGATTTTGTGCTTTTTTTTTTTTTCTGTACCTTACCTTTACAAATAAATCTTGCAAAAAAGAATGTAAGGAAGAAAGAAAAAATTTCACACAAACAGAAAATTAATGTAAATTTTTACCATGTGGATTGGAACTATGCCAAACACAGCCAGTTTTCCAATAAGCTTTTGATTAATTCATAGTAAGAAACAATTTAATTTGAGGTCATGAAAAATTTCTTTGAAATTTTTTGCAATTACTAGAGTTTTTCATCCTGAAACACAGAGTAAGATGTGTCCTGAACATGTGCAGGTAGGCCCAGCAAGCAGAGATAACGCACACCCATGGCTCTGTGCCCCAGAAATGTCTGTGCTGCCTAAGACTACACTGAAAATATGGGAAGTCATAGCAATGCTCCCATTGGCCCAACCCTCCTCTGGAGTAACTTCTTCAGATCACACAGAAAAAAAGGAGATATTTTAACATCCAAGCAATATATGCCCCACAAATATATCTAAGTTTGTCTTGCTGCAGAAAAAAAGAAAACTAACTCAGACGAATTACAACATTTGGGGACTTCAGACTCTGATGATCATTTAATAACCCAAGATGCTCAAGGATTTCGTAAAAACCAAATGTGTTACAATAAAACCTCTGGATGAATCTGTTTATTCATATAGGAGTGTTATGTTCAATATGTTCAACTCTGCTTAAAGATGATGAAATCAAATTGCTTAATTTTTGCCTTTAAAATTATATATCTAGTATATTAACAGATCCTAAGAATTTCAGTAAGCATTGGAAAGAGAGAAGAAATAAAAGATGAACAATGTAGTACAAAAACTGCAAGAGAAAGAGAGGAATAGGGTGAGAGCTCCACTTCATCAGTGGGAGAGGGCAAGGTGTCAGGAGCATGATGGGAAACAGTGATGTGGTACACCTAACTGATGGATCTAGCTCTGGGGCGCGGTAGGGTGGAGCCAGCCAGGATTCTTCATGTTTTTGTGACATGACTGAAGCTTGCTTAGGCAGCAAACTAGAGCAAAAAGTGACGTCTTCAGTTTAGATACTGACTCAGGAATTGGGGGTATGTGCTTGGTAAATTAACTGCACCATCATCAAAAAGTGACATTTTATCAGGCCCAGTGCAGTGGCCTAGTGGTTAAAGTCTTCGCCTTGAATGCACCAGAATCCCATATGGGCGCCGGTTCTAATCCTGGCCGTGCTACTTCCCATCCAGCTCCCTGCTCATGGTCTGAGAAAATAGTCATGTCAGCCCAAAGCCTTGGGACCCTGCACCTGCGTGGGAGACCTGGAGGATGTTCCTGGCTCTTATCTTCAGATTGGCACAGCACCGGCCATCGCGGCCACTTGGGGAGTGAAAGATCTTCCTCACTGTATATCTGACTTTGCAATAAAAAAAAAATAAATCTTTTAAAAAGTGACATTTTATCGCCATGTAAAGGCTAATTTTAGAGTTAAGTTTAATGAGCTTTCCTTCATATAAAACAGCAGTAACTAAAACAGACATTTAACACGGGTTGGTGAGAATTCTGTGTGTGTTTCAAAGTTCCTTTTATGCTGGGTTTTTAACCTATTGCTACATTTTTCAGGGCAAAATGTGGGTAATATACTTCTGCCTCTGGGAGCAGGCATTGTGGTGAAGTGGGTTAAACTGCTGTTGGCATCACCAACATCCCATATGGATGTCGGTGTCCAGGTGCTCCACTTCCAAACTAGTTCTCTGCTTATGTGCTTTCCTGGGAAAGCAGCGGAGGATGGTCCAGGTGCTTGGGTGTCTGCACCCACATGGGAGACCTTAGTGAAGCTCCTGGCTTCTGTCTGGCCCAGCCTGCCCTGGCAGTTGTGACCATTTGGGGAGGGAACCAACAGAGGGAAAAATCTATTTCTTTTGCTCTAACTCTTTTAAATAGAAAAATAAATCTTTAACACAAATACATACATCTATAATACACGTGTTTATAGATGCATATATTTGTATCCATAATTCTATGGGACACCTCCTAAATTATGGACCAAGGTGATGCATAATTAATAATTAATTGTTATGCAACCCAGGAACACAAACATTCAGGTTGTAGACAAAGGGTTGGTTGGTAGATCTGCTTCAAGAGGTAAGGGCTAAAATGAGAAGTAATCCTCTCCAAAGTGCTTTAACTTCCTTAAAAAATTCTACTCATCTATATTATTCTTTCTAAACAGAGGTTAATAATAGAAAAAAAAGTTTATATCCTTTACTTGTATCACACTGCTTATATGCCAGCTCCCTAATATGGAAGGACAGATCTCCAAAACTACCTAATTTATTTATCAATTCCTTTAATTGGTCATTCACTTACTGAGGTAACAGCAATTGTCTAAGCAAGCGGGAGACATGCATAAAACCAGGGCTTGGCTTTCAAAATATCCTGAGAGGAAACAGGTGCATGAACAGCTGACGCTGATGCTCTGGGCAGCTTGTCTGAGAGAGGCACCTATACAGTGGACAGAGGTAGTCTGGGGCACTGGAAGAGGACTGGGAGAAGAGGATCAAGGACTAGCACCAGAGGAGGAGCAGCTGTTTTCCTGGGAGGAGGACATAGCAAGGCAGGAGCTGAGTTTACCTGGGTAGGAGCAAATGATTCCATGCAGCTGCAAGGTAGAGAGTGTGCAAGGCTAGGAGGTAAGAGGGGAGGGATGGGAGAGGAAAGGGTTATTGTAGCCTTCAGCTGTTCGCAAACCAGGGGTCATGGAAGGCAGGTTAACAGAGCAAGTGAGCAATCATAACCACGCTAAGAGAATGCAGGCAGCAGCCACAGTGACTGTGGAATGACTTTGCTGAGCCTGAAGTACAATTCCCTTCTACATTCTTACATAATCTCTTATTTCCACGTTTCACTGGAACACTTTGTAAGATTTAGACAGATATTTTAAATTCTCTTGCAGGTGCACGTGTTTGTCCTTTGGAGGTGTCTGTGAAGCTCCAGGAGTGGAGCAATATCTATGCCTTACCGTCCTCTGAGACATTGGTGGATTTTAACAGCGTCTGTCAGCACTCACTTGCTATTAAAACTTGCAGTGTACACATGAAAAGCAATGTGACTTCTTGGAAATATCCAGGGGCTATTTCTGAAGAAGCACTAGAACCGCGATATGACAGGTAAAGAGCAGAAAGCAAACACAGCTCACACCAGAGCCTCCAGGATGTGGTGCCGGGCCAGACCTCGAGATCTCTTGTACCACAGACTAAAAGGACCTTATGTATGGGTTATCCATTTTGAATAAAAACACAAAATGCCTGAATTTACAAAAATATATTTCTGCTCTTCCAAAGAATCCAATAACTATAATACACAGTGGGCATTTAATACTATTTCTGTGGGACTTTGCTGTGTTCAGAGTTTTCACAATCATGAACATGGCTAATTCTTACAACTTCATGATTCCTTGAGAGTATTATTATGCTTTTTGTTGAGATATGAAATTGGGCAAGCTGCCCATTCCAGCGCTGGCATCCCATATGGGCGCTGGTTCAAGTCCTGGTTGGTTCACTTTCCATCCAGTTACCTTCTAATGCATCCAGGAAAGCAATAGGGAATAGGCCATGCACTTGGGCCCGTGCACCCATAATGGAGGCTAGGAAGAAGCTCCTGGCTTGTGGCTTCGGCCCAGCCAATACTGGTCATTGTAGCTATCTGGGGAGTGAACTAGCAGAAGGAAGCCTTCCCTTTCTCTCCACTCCCCTTCTCCTACTCCTCTCTCTCTTTCTCTCTGTAGCTCTAACTTTCAAATAAACAAATGTTTTTTAAGAAATAACACAGATGTGAACACGGAAGTCCAGAAGCACTAGACTTGAAGCAAAAGTACCATCTCTTCTTGTTGTAAAGAAGGAAAAAATCAAACCAACAGAAGTGAATGATCATTCTTAAGACCTCTCAAGTTTTCAGGTGTCAGAGTCAGGACTCCAATCTGGGCTCACCATCTGACTCCAGAGCTCAGTTTAAGTAGTTAAAGCTGCCTTCCTGCTTCAGGCTTTTTTTTTTTTTTTTAAGATTTATTTATTTTTATTACAAAGTCAGATCTACATAGAGCAGGATTCACTTCCTAAGTGTCCATTGATTCACTCCCTAAGTGGCAGCAATGGCTGCAACTGAGCTGATCCAAAGCCAGGAGCCAGGAACTTCCTCCAGGTCGCTCACGCAGGTGCAGGTTCCCAATGCTTTGAGCCATCCTCAATTGCTTTCCCAGGCCACAAGCAGGGAGCTGGATGGGAAGTGGAACTACCGGGATTAGAACCAGCACTCTGGGGACTCACACCAAAGACACTGCCGCAAGGCAGTGAACGAATCCTCGGCCTCCCTCAGGACCCAAGAGAGCTCTTCCCTCAGGGTAAGTCCACCAAGAGGGATCTTGGGAACTGGATTAAAATTCCTAGCTCTGCCCTGCTGCTAAGATCTTGCAGCTGGGTGAGTTTGGGAGGGGTTCAGGCCTTGGGGTTGGGGGCATTTGCCACTCCCTGCAGTGTGGTGACTGTGGGGGTGCCCCTGTAGGGTCAGACCCAATGCTGGGGACTCATGCAAAGACACTGCCGCAAGGCAGTGAATGAGTCCTCGGCCTCCCCCAGGGCGGCCAGTGCACCAAGTGGTGCAAGGCTTTGCCTACTGGCTGCCCCGTGGCGAACTCTGGGGCTTTTAAGACATGTAGTTGCTGTCTGGGGACACTCATGACTAAGGCCGGTTTGAATGTAGGTGATAAGTGAATTTTGGGTGATTCTCAGTGACAGGGTCATGAAAGATTCAGGCATGCGTGGGGACCAAGACCTGGTGGTTTGGAGGGAAGTATCCAGAAGATAATTTGAGTTACACAGATGCAACAGCTCAATTAGGAATACAGAGATGGGCTATTAGCACAGAACATCACTGATTGCCACACATTAGCTCACACTAAAGCTATGGATGGGGGCCTCTTTGGCAGTGTTAGGTACCATTACCCGACTGAGTGGTGGAGTTGTGGAGTGGTCACATTTGGCAGGATCAAGACACTATCCAGCATGCAAGAGAACTTGGTCTGGAAGTAGACTCTGTGGGGTTGTGTGGGCCCAACCCTCTGGAATATAAGTTCTCCTGGTTAGCTCGAAAGCTGGGGTTGCAATGGTCTAAGCTAGGTGTGACCATGCCACCTGCCATCTCTCATGGGTAAAGGAACCCACAACAGTCAGGGTAGGTCAAGGCAGCAGCACCCAAATGCTCATCCTTAAACAGGATGTGAAGTGGGCTGGGCTGCCACTGGAAGGGGGCAGAATGGGCAGGGCTGAACAAACCTTAACTCACAAGAAACAACAGAAATCAGGTTGGAGCATAGGTCATGCCACGTAGGTCCTTGCACCTACTGATCTGCGTGAGACAGAGGCACTAAGCCACAGCATCCAAGGGGCCAGGACAAGTGAGGGGCTCTGCCAAGCTGAGACAGAACAACCACTGGCCTGCACATGATCTAAGGCTGGGAATATTCCTGGTTGGGGAACTAAGGGGACACCCTAGCTGGGTTGAGTTTCCCACCAAAGAGTACATGGGCTGGAATGGGGCTGCATTCTGATCAGGATACGATTGTAATCTCACTTGGCACAAGTGTGGACTGGGACTGGAAGCACCAAGCCAGGCCAAACTCCAACACCATCTGGTGCTCTGGAGGACTGAGGAGAGATGTGTGACAGACTAGGCTAGGTCTCAGCCCTTACTGAACCATGTGTGAGCTGTATGGGGTATGGAAGAGCTGTGGTTGGGTTGAAACATCCAACAGTGAGAACCAGATTGGGTTGAAGGCTAGTCAGGAAAAGCCACTGTTCTTGTTAGGACAGGAGGTAAACTGAGTAGGGCTGGTTCATGGACCCACTGGTATATGCAAAAACTGGCATTGGGAGAGGTTCTGATGGAGGAGCCTGGGCAACTTCTCTGGCAGGACACAGTCCCTGCAGGTAAGTACGAAAAGCACAATAGGGAATAACCCAGAACAGGCAATGGAAATTATCCCACTGGCATATACATGGCATGGGTTGGGGGCAGACTAGGCTGAACCTGTTCACATTACCTACTGGTGAATCTGAGCACCAGAACAGAGTGTGGGTCGAGCCAGGTTCAGTTGCAACACATACCAGTACACAACAAGTAATGCCAAGGTGAGATGAGCCGTACCAGATGTGGTTGCAGCACCCAAACAGCACATGTGATAATCACGGGGAGGAGGCAAAGCCAACAGGGGAACATGGGCTCCCCTGCTGGACAACTACTTCCATTGGAAAGCGTGAGTTAGGATCGGGGTAGTTCAGACTAGGCAGGGCTATAACACCTGAGGGCCTCATGGTGAACTGACTGTTCCAACTGGTGCAAGCAAAAATTAGAGTGGGTTGAGGATTGTTTGGGCTTAGCCGCAGCATTAGCTGGCAGAGGCTGGCACTGGGAGCTAATTCTGTCAAGTCAAATGCCAGAACCACCTGGAGATTGCATAATCTGGGAGTCGAAGTGGCCTAGTAGGAAAATAGTGGGCACCTCCCTCAGGGTTAACACCCTCACTGGACAGCACAAAAACTAGGATAGGGGTAGGGGTGGCTAGACAGAAAGGCACCTGCCAGTAGGTGTATGGGCTGGATAATAGGTTGGTTGGGTTGAACTAGGCTTCAATGCCCAATGACATGTGCGAGAGCTAAATGGGATGTTGGACAGACTGGACAAGCCTGCGGTACATACTGGCAAGCATGGGAACCAGGGTAGGGGGCAGAACTGGTAGGGGTTTTGGGGAGTCGTCCCAACTAGGCTGTAGCTCCAACTGGTTTGCGTGAGACCGAGTATGAAGTGGGTAGAATCGAGCTGGACTACAACACCCGTCAGTTCACGAGGAAGACAGGGCTGGAAACAGAACAGACCCAGCAATCTCAACGACCAGCACGTGCATAAGATGATTGGTGTGATGGACGGTGTTGGAGTCTGTACTAGCAAACTCACTCAAGAATCAGATCTGGGATCATCTCAGATGAAGTTTCTTTGGAGATCCCTCCAACTGAACTGCTGATCTTCGAACCCCAACCATCAAGAGACTGTCAGCCAGTGGACTCTGAATAGATTTCATTGTGATTGGAACTGTGAGATTGGCAGCAATTCAGAACTGATAAACTATCAAAACTGAGCAGGACCCTTGGAGCGCGCCTCCTGTTGGGGATTGGGGATGGGTGGGAGGTTGGATGGGGCTTTTCCCTTTGCTATTCCCCTAACCCCAGATACAGGGAAAAATGATAATATTAGTGTGGAAACAATGGTATTACCCACTTTCACCCTGTAGCCCTTGACCCTTTGTACCCTAATCAACTAAGATAATTGAAAAAAAAAAAAAAAGAACCAGCACTCATATGGGATCCATAAGGACTTTAGCTGCTAGGCTACCACACTGGGCCCCCTGCTCCAGGCTTTTTATGAAAATGCAGTTAAGCTACATGGTAATACACACAAAATACTTGGCTGGCTCTATTCCCTCTTATTTTCCCACATTGCTAATCAGCTCACAGACTTTTCTAGCACCTCATACAATCAATAGTGCTCTCTCAGCAAGTCTGAGGGCTAAAGTATTGAGAAAAATGTCCCAAAGTGTATCAGGAAGGTTAATCTGGTTCCCATGTTAATTTCTTCATCCAAGTTCTAACCTGTGCACATTCTCCATGGCTGCCACTTCGGCCAATGCAGCGAGGCTAAAGAACGCAGACACCGCGGGCATTTCCGGAGTACTGCTCCGAGTCTCTTCAGCCTCAGGCTGGTGGGAGCACTCATCATTGCAGTCGGCCTCAGCTGCCTTGGGGAGACTCCTCCGCAGGTGCTCCTTTGGTTTGTCATCTGTAACAAAAGGTGGATCTATCATGAGAGGAGCGCTCAGTTTTCTCCAGAAGGATGCAGAGAGGACACCTTGCCAGGCAGTGTAAAAGGAGGGAACATTCTTTACCTTTCCATTGAACATGAAAGCTCTGACAGAATTCCCCCACAGTAACAAAATCCCTTTATTAAGCTAATTTGCAGCAATCCCTCAGTACTGAAGCCTAGAGCTAAGCTGCAGAGAAGCTGTGTTTTATTCAGGGTTGAAGAATGAGTCAGTTTAGGAGTGAGGCAAAATGAGCTTTGGTCAAAATCAAACCCCTGAATGAGGTGCCTGGAGATGCCCCAAAGTGGCCTTTACAAACCCAAATGGCTAAACATTTCTCATGACGCTGCAGCAGGCACTGCTACGGCAACTCAGACATTTGGTATGTTCTGACACCAGTACTAACGATGGTCTAAACATCAAATTAATCAATCCCAGTAGGATTCAACAGGATAGTTACTTTGTCCTGAAGCTCTAACAGAAAGAAAACAAAGGACCTGAAGTGCTGGATAAAAAACCTTGTAAATATTCCTGCTAAAAGTGTGTGTACAGTCTTTATTATATAACCATTATAATGAAGCAGGTTTGTTTTTTGGTGGTTTTAAAACCATTTTAGATTTAGAAAGAAACTGATAAGAACTATAAATGTCACATAAGAACTTCCCTAAGTATGATGTTTTCTACATAAAAGGGGAGTTTTCTAAACTCTTCCATTCTTTCAACAAGTAAAACTAAATTATATATATATGTGTGTGTATGAATGAGGATAAAATAATACAAACAAAAGCCATAGACTCCAAAATACAAAGGCAAGGATGTAGAGGTCTGCTGACTAAACGGCAAGACAGCCAGATTTTAGTCTTCATCCCACCTCTACCCAATTGTAGGTAGTAATAACACCTGGAATATGCTAAACACAAGAAACAGTACATAACATTCACTATTTGCTCTCTAATTCTAACTCAGCAAACTATTCATCTCTGGTAACATGCTGAGTAACTCGAAACAGACAAAGTGACACCAGCTAAACCCACTAGTGCCTATCTGCTATGGCACTAGTAGATAGTGAGCAGATAGAATTTGAAGCAGATAGTAGGCATCACTTACTGCCCCACTCCTTGGGGCAATTGTTGGGCTCCTTGGACAATTCTATTGCCAGGGAGGCCACCAGAAACTGGAAACAGACTCCAGGCCATGACAGAAAATGGGGAAATTCACTGGTTGCATTAGACAAAAAGCTCAAGAAATCTAAAAGTGGGCAGGCATTGTGGTACAGTATGTTAAGCTTTAGCTTGGGATGCCTGCATCCAATATTGAGAGCTGGTGTGAGTCCTGGCTACCCCAGGTTCAATTTAGTTTCTTGTTAATGTGTGTGGGGAAGACAGCTTTGTTGGCTAGGTCCTTGGGTCCTTGCCATCTACATGGGATGGAGTTCAAGCATCCTGGCTCTAGCCTGGCCCAGCTTTAAGTATTTTGCCCAAGTGAATCAGCAGGTAATAGATTTCTCTCTTTCTCTGTTTTTCAAATAAATAAACCTTTAAAAAAAAAAAAACAAGAAGAAATGCCTTAGTTTTCAGGATCAGCTTTATAAGAAACATTGGGTATGTTTAAACATTCCTCCATCTGCTGCATTGAATACCTGGTAATCTAGCCTGTCAGGGCTTGCAGAGCAGATCATGGAGAAACACTGATTCATACAGGATATTTAGAAGTCTAGGATCTTCTGGAATTTACTTAATCAAGACTTTTTTATACATACTGAGAAAGAAATGCTGACTATCCTAAAAAATTACCTTTCCTTCCCAGAAATGCAGATATGCTCATGGAAACAGCCATGATTTTAAAACAGAATAAAACATGTCTGGAAGTCTACAGGAAGCCATAGGTCACGCCTCATTATTCAAAGTGGGGCCAAAGCTGTCTTACAGTCATTTGCTGTTTTTGGTTATCTCTGTTTAAAGCTCTGCTTACCCAGAGAACCTCCTGCTGGTGAAACCCGGCCGTCTGCTGTCCTGACAAGGTGTGTAATCTTGGTTTTTCTTGCTTTTCTCTTTTGGCTGCCCACCAGTGGTTCTTGCATTGTTGTTGGCTCTGGAGTGTTGGGAAGGGATAGGGCATTTTTAACCTTATGCGCAGGCTCTATGGTGTTTTTGTCTTCTGAAAATATGGCTGAAATGAGACAAACCAAATATAGTTAAGCACAAAAACACAGGCAAAGCAACATTTCTCTTGAAAGGAAATATTTCCAAAGGTCTAACTCATCTGAATGGGGAGTTTGCAATCAGTGTTGACTATTGATAGAAAAAATAAAACATTGCTGACAATTTGTAAATAAGTTTATCACTTATTTAAATTTGCTTTGATAAATTAAGTGCAGAGGATTAAGACATCTTCTCTCTTTTTTGAATATTTGCTTAGTTTTTGGACCTTGCAGGTTGCTGGGGAAAAGAGGATGATAATGCATGCAAATCTTAGTCAACAGTGTCCCAACACACCAGAAGTACTAGTGGTGATCAAGGTCCACAGCTAAGACTCTTGCTGATCTAATCTGGAGGAGAAGGCAAAAGAGCCTTCTTTTCATCTAAGGACATGGAGAGTAAGTTCTTAAACTTACATTTAAGGTTGGGACATTTGCTTTCAAGCACAAGGCTGGCTGATCAGAAAAGAAATTGTGAAGTCAGACTTTTTTTTGCAGACTACTTAGAAAGGACAGGGGAAATACTGGTAAAGACAGCACATAAATGAAACTCTCCAATTCATGGAATTCCAGGACAGGGTAAATATGTTTAGTGAAGTTCTGTATGTCAAGTCAGCTCACAGAGAAGCCAGTTTTAGGTTCCTAAGCTGCAACACAATCAATCATGACCGCACTCTCTTACATGCTCAATCACTGCATCAAGATTAAGGAAGTAACCTTTCTGCTAAGTCCTTAATCCCAGTTTAAATATATTTGGAATGTCTGTGTTTCTCCTTATTTGCTTCCCTTCTTGGGAGTTCACCCTTCCTATTCCCTTCATTTAAAAGTTAAAAAAAAATGCAACAAAAATGAAAGAGAAAACAACAACAAAAAGAATAGGCAAATATGAGTTTAGTAAATATTTAGGGATATATGCACAAAATCAATTTTCATGATTAAGATTAAAACAACTTTAAAGGCTTTTAGGTAGGGAGGAGAAGTGTTTTTCTAGCCAAGCTCTTAGGAGAGACACTGAAATAATTTTGAAATATAAGAGGAGAATGTTTATCAGGATATTCAGATCTCATGACAAACTCTGAGAAAACTAAGCCTGGAGAATAACTAAAGGAACTTGTAAGGTGGGTCTGAAGGATGTTATTGACGTATATGTAACATAGAAAGCAAAGACTAAGAAGGGAGATAAGGAGCAAGAGTAACTCTGGGTTTGAAAAAGATGTACTTGTTAAACCTCATTTTAAAATTATAAACTAGCTTTAGTAGATTTAGGTCCATTTCTGATAAAGAAAGGCCATGAATTAATACAATCTCTGGCCCTGGAAATCAAGGCACCTGAAAAGAAGTTGATCCCAGATTTCACATTCCAAAACAAGTGGGAAATAATTGTAATTATTCAAAAGAAAGTATATAAAGCAGAAATCACACCATCATTTGTGGCTTGGTCTGACCTCAATATTGCATAACAGATGGGTTGTGTGGGGACAGGTTTAGGATAACAGTTATTTAAAAAGTTATTTGGCAAAGTTCCCAAACACCTTTTTTGCATAAGTAATTAAAAATCAGAAAGAAAGGTTCCTTTTAAAGTTGTAAATCTACAATTTAGGTAATATCACTTATTTATAATTTAATATTTGGCTTAACAGAGGTCAGTGGTAGTATATATTTTAATAATTGTTTTAGTTTAAAAACTAATAAAAGTTCCTAGCAAAATAAAAGATAATGTGTCCCATGACTGTGCTATAGCCTTAAAGTTCAAAACCTCCTGTAAGAAGAAATCAGAATCAGAACTTACAATGAGTATTAAATAACTTCTGCACATTCAGAATTTCTACATTTCTAGTTTCATATCCAAATCTATTAGTTGTCCCTTCTGTTTACTTATGGAGCCTTGTACCCATCTCAGACATGACCACTCTCTTACAGATCAACATTCTAGAAAGAGCATAACATCTTCCCCCTTCTCCTTCCTGCCTGAAAAACCCAGAATGAGGGAAATAAAGGTATAGCAGGGAACCAAAGATGAAAGGTATCCTATATCCAAAGAACTTCTTACAGAAAGAAGAACTGAGAAGGCAAAAGCAAAGGCATGGGTACTACAAAAAGGCCAAGTGAGTTGGGAAAGATGACCTGATTTCTATACAGAGACCTCGAATGAGAAAGTAGAAATTATAGAATTCTATTCTTGAAGTGACACCATAAAGGTCTCAGTTCCTTTATGGAAGATGAAGGTCGAACTAGCCTAGCTCTTAAGCAGCCATCAAGCCCTAAAACAATGTAAGTTTTGCCACATAGCTACAATTAGGACAAAACAAGCATATAGTCCATGGCAGAAAGGGGTTGGAGAAGAACATGACTTTGACAAGCACTGTGGTATTTTTGTTTTTTGTTTCTTAGTGGTGAGCTCTCAGATGGTTTCATTTCTCCCCAGTGGTTGCTTCTATTCTTGTTTGTCCCAGAAAAAATTGTTGTAAAAACACAATGAGAAGCCAGGCCATGGCTGAAAGGGATTGCAAACAGGAGGTACAATGCAGGCCTATGAGCACAATGGAATGAGGGAAAGCCCTAACAGCCAGTAGCCTAGGGATAGGAGAATCAAAAGCAGGCTGGCCCAAAGATTTCAATGATACTGAAAACTTAAAAATCAATAGACTGTGTAACTGAAAAGGAGTAAATCAAGAAGCGGCAGCAAAGAATACAAAGGCTGAGAAGAAGACTTGCTGAGAAGTCTCCTCTTAAACTACCAAATCAGGAAATAATCACGGGCCCTACAATCATCCATGTTTGTAAAACATATGGGAAATGACCATGCCGGAATTTCTAAGGTCAGATAGGGTCCCCGTTCCATGCTTTGACTGAGGGGTTAAGCCCAGAACATGCTGTCCTATGTGTGGTGATCTAAACGCAGAACAGCCCTCAGACAGAAACTGCTTGAGACAGCGAGAATCAGGGAAGACCAGTGCATCAAAGAAAGAGGGATATGAGGACCAAGCAGTGATTTCAAATCCCACAACACAGGAAAAGCAAGCAAAGCCCAGCTGACAGACATCAGCTGAAAAAGGGCTCAATGAGGGAAACAAGCCAAAAAAGAGTGCAAAACCAGCACCCTCATCCCCAATGCCACACTAATGGAAATGTGAGGAAAGAATGGCTTTGTCATCCTAAAGCAAATTAGTCAATTCTTTTACAGCTTTTAATTGAACACACAAAACTACTCAAGCACTGTGGAACAAGTCCGCAGGGCTAGTTTTTATACTCAGCAATAACTATAACACATTTGTAAGCGGATCATCTGAGAGTGATACTGCCAGTTCACTCCTGTAGCCACATTAGGATGTAGCAATAAGAGACTTCTGTTTTCCAAACTGCGCACAAAACGTAGAGTGAGGGGTTTGAGGGAGGGTGGGAGTCGGGGAGCAGCACTGTACTTATGTCCTGGGAAGCTACTAAAGTGCTCCAGAGTTGTGAAGTCAATCCAACTGGGTAATTCAAACATGTTCTGAAATGAGCAAAGGCAGATCTAGAATCTTGCAGCCTTTGGTTGGCCTCGCATGAACTAAAACAACAGTCAGAAACTGAATGGAACACAGAAAAAAAAAATCAAATGAATGATCCATATATAGGATCCATTTATAGTTAGTTGCACACCTCTAATTTAAGAGAAGAGACCAAGTTAGACTGGGCTCTGTGGGTCTGGTTTGCAAAGCCAACTATAAACAAAGGTGTTTCCTGTGTAATCGATGTATACGCTGTAAAGAAATGAATCGGATGAATATCCCTAGCCTAAAGATTATTTAGTTGAAAATACCATTTGTATTTTCAATACCTGAAGCAAATGAAGGTTGAAACACTGCAGACAAGCCTGAAAAATTGAAACTGTAGGTCACTGTGCTAAAGTGGATAGTTCTGATCTCTTTCTTTTCTGCTTTTGTTGAGTGCTCTTTAATTCTTTCCCATACCTTTGGGACTGAGAAGTCCTTCTTAATTCACTAGGGTTGCCATCAATGTGAAATTCAAAACAAAATATGTATGCAAAAAATGTAAATATGTATCATCTGTATGTATTTACCCACTACAAATATCAACTGGCATTAAATATTAATAGTCATTAATTATTACAACTAGAAACCTTTAAGGAAAGGTTATGCGATATGATAACTGGGTAGAAACAAACACAATGACAGAGGTAGATCTTGGCATATCAGAAACTTTTAATACTGAGCCTTGGGCAATCTTTTTTTAAATATGTGAAGTTATTTAATCATTTTGATTTTTAAAGCAAAGAGGAAAATACATAAAAGAGATGATAAGCATAGCATTTAAGCCTCAGTTGTATTACTAAGCACACCAAGATTTCTGATATTTTCAAAGGAGAAAAAGTGAACCACAAGGCATTACACACAGGATGGGGTAAGGCATGGTGAACTTTAAGCCATCCATGTTAACAGAAGTCAGAAAGCTGAACAACTGCACAACCTCCGTTGAATCAACATTTTCATTACAAGCATCAGCTACAAACAATCCCTGTCAAACCTTCGCATGGGATTGCTTACACATGTCAAAATTATGTCTTCATTTTCTGTTCCTCTATATTTATACTTTGCAACACAAAGTTTTAATAAGCAGTGACTTGGCCATAGGTGAGACAGGATGAAGTAAAGGACTTATTTAATTCGCAGAGCACATTGTCACCACTCAAACAACTGAGTGCTAGAGATGGTATGAAAACAAACAACCAAAAAGGTCATTTTTAATTACAGGTAATTTTCTGATTCCCAAATTGATTCCTTTTTCCTGTACACATAAAATGAGCATGCACACTCTGTATTAAGCAAGGCATGCATTTTTTAAAGTACATGGTTTCCAAGTCTTATTCCACAAGCACTGCTAATATATAAAATTAAATATCACCAATAATAAGTCTCCTAAATTCTTGGAACTACTTATAAAGTAGTTCTTAAAGGCAGAAACTTGTTTTTACCAGAAAAGACAAAAGAGATTACAATGCAGACCTGGCACTGTGGGGAGCAAGTAAAGCTGCTGCCTTTGGTGCCAACATCCCATATAGGTGCCAGTTCATATTTTGGGTGCTCCACTTTTGACCCATCTTCTTGCTAATACACCTGGGAAACAACACAGAATGGCCTAAGTAGTGGGGACCCTGCACACAAATGGGAGACTCAAAAAATTCTCTGGCTTCTGGTTTTGAATGGGCCTGGATCCAGCCGCGACAGCCATTTGGATAGAAGATCTCTCTCACTCTCTGTCTCTCCTCTCTCTGTGACTTTGCCTTTCAAGTAAACTAATCTTAAAAAAAAAAACAAAAGTTTTTAAATAGTCCAAAAATAGGTCTGATCCTGGTACAGAAACCGAGAAGATCAATGGAACAGAATAGGACGGAGCAGAGCCCACACATGTATAGCCAGCTAATTTTTGATGAGAAAACTGAAAACAATCCTGGGGAAAAACTTAGTCTCTTCAACAAATGCTGTTGGGGCAACTGGAGAGCAGCCTGCAGAGGTACAAAGCAAGACCTCCACCTGTCTTATTATACAGAAATCAGCTCTACATGGATCAAAGACCTAAATCTGCATCCAGAAACCATCAAACTATTAGAGGAAAACATAGGATTCACTCTCCAAGATACAGGAATGGAGAAACTTCTGGAAAAAGACACCAAAAAGCACAAGTAGTCAAAGCCAAAATAAACAAATGGGACTACATCAAACTAAAAAGCTTCTGTACAACGAAGGAAACAAGCAACAAAGTGAGAAGCAACCAATGGAATCGGAGAAAATCTGCATACTACACAACCGAAAGGAGACTAATATCCAGAATTAACAAAGAGCTTCAGAAACCCAGTGACAGCATAACAAACACCCCTTTGAATAAACAGGAGAAGGAAATGAGCAGACATTTTTTGAAAGAACAAATTCAAATTGCTAATAGACATACGAAAAGATGCTCAGCTCCCTAGCCATTAGGGAGATATGAATGAAAATCACATTGAGGTACCACTTAATTCCAGCGAGGCTGACCTACATTCAGTACTCTGCTACCGACACCCGCTGGTGTAGATGTGTACCTTTCTTCACTGCTGGTGAGAGTGTAGGCTAGTACAACTTCTATGGAAGTCAGTATGGAGAATACTAACAGAACTGTGAATAAACCTGCCATATGACCCAGTTATCCCGCTTTTAGGAATATCCAGAGGAAATGAAATTGGCATATGAGAAAGAGATCTATAATCCTATATTTATAACAGCACAATCCATAACAGCAAAGACATGGAAACAATCCAGATGCCCGTCTAAAGAGGAGTGTATAAAGAAACTGTGGTATATCTACTCCATGGAATACTACTTAGCTTTGAAAAAGAATGAAATTCTAACATTTGCAATCAAATGATCTCAACTAGAGAATGTTATACTCAATGAAATAAGTCAATTCCAAAAGGACAGATATCATATTCTACTGATATAAGGCAACCTTCATGCAAAATATAAGATCAATAGCCCTTTCAATATTGTTTTGACTGTAACTCACGGGTTTTGATTTTTTGTTTTAATTTTCATTTTTTTCATAATAGTTTCTTTTATTAGAGTCTTCACTGACTCACAGGTCATACAGTAGTATCCTTTTCTCCGAGAAGGTTTTTTATTTTCTTTTTCATTTCTTCAATGATGATATTAGTTAACTGGTAGCATGTTATTTAGCTTCATGTTGTAATTTTTTTAAACTTTATTCCTGTTGTTGATTTTGTTTTATGGCTTCTCATTAAGGGAATGTATAGTGATGGCGTAATGGAGACCATTATATCCAGATGTGAAGATACAATGCAGCATGCATTTCTACTTCCAAGTCAAAGACGGACTCCAATGAAACTGTTAGATATATCTTGACAATAGGATCCTGGATTGTTTACCATTGTCTGTACCAGCAATGTCAGGACACACTTAAATAACAGAATGATAGACTTACGACTGCTTATGAAGGGCTATACTATTGTAATAATAAAGGGTCAATCAGTGGTGGGGGGAGAAGTTTGGGGGTGTGATAAGGGAAATCCCAGAGCCTAAGGAACTGTATCATAAAATTACAGACAAAATAGAAGGGAAAAACACTCCAACCTAACTATAAACACAGTGGTCTGATCTACTGGTGCAAGCCACTGCAAAATAAGGCTTTCTGGCCTCTAAAAATTATGCCATTTCTGGCTTGGAATATCAAATTAAAAAATGAATGTGACTTCTTTTACCTTCTGTAGGGTGAATGGCATCCAAGAAGATTTGCTTGTTTGACCATTTATCCCCACTTCCTAAAAACAGTGACAGAAAAAGAAAGGAAAGTGAAACCATACTTTTAGAACACACACAGAGCACAAAAAATAAGACACTATACACAATAACCTAAATATGAAGCGTCACACAAATGAAGCAGAATTTTATTTCATTTTCAATACTGAAACTGGCATTTGCTAATAAAATAAGACCACACAGGACATGAATTTAAAAAGAACACATTTTTGTTTTAGGAAATATTCTCAGATTTCTGTGTAATCATATTAACCTTCTGAAGACCCGTAAAAACAAAAGCTGACATGTTTAGCTCAGAATAATGTCTCTTTACTAAGAGAAAGGGAAAAAACGCTAATATTATAGAAAACAGAACTATGAAGCCCATGTATGAGTGAAAATTAAAACCACTTAAGTAAAAAGTTACAGGAACACACAGACACATACATCTACACAGAGAAGATCGCTGCATTTAAAGCCTCATTTTAAGATATATGAAATGCTTCACACTGGCCATGCAAGTTGGATGCAAACTGGCATCAGGTGAGTAGGCTCATGGCAGTCACGATGCTAACATGCAGGGAGCTGCTAAAGAAAGCCCAGCTTCCAGGCCTTGTGGCTCTACTGAGCCAGATGGGAAGGTTTAATCTATTAAAAACATGAAAGAAGAAAAGGAGTCCTGAACTCTGAGATCTTGAGATGAACCCTCAAGAGGTTCAAGGGTCCATCAAGATCGTTCAATGACACAGATGTTCAGAGCAAAGGGGCTGGCGGGAGCAGCAGAGTGCAGGAAAGTCCCCAGTGTCCTCTGGAAATAACAGTGTGTGACTGAAGGAGGTGGGCAGACGTGTCTGGCAAACAACTTGTTCTACAGATGGCGGAGAAGGGTTATGACTTAGGAGCAGAAAAAAAGGTCCACAAGAACCCTGAAGTATCAGAGGAAGTACAGGAAGGTTGGGGCTTTCACATGAATGTGAAAGGAAGCAGGTGAGTGTGGCCATGGGCTGAAGGGTTGCCAAATGTGAGAAAAATGAGAACAGTCAAAGAAAATAAATGGGTAAGAGGCTAAGAGTACTAAATTACACAATTCACAAGATGTAGATGAGAAAAGCCGCAGTTTTGGGATCATTTGGGGCTCTGAAAATAGAGACAAATACAGATTTGAATGGGAATCTCAATGAAGTAGATCTGCAATTAGCTGCAGAGTCTAAAATGAATGAAAATGCCAGCGCTGGGAGCGAATGGCACTGAAGCAAGCACAGGGGAGAAGGCAAAGGCAGTGCACAGAAGCATTCCTTAGAGATGGATTCACAATAGAGGCAGCCACAAAACCTTAACGGAGGGTGGAAGGCACCAATACCTTTTTCCGGAACATTAGGCTTCTCCTTTTTGTGCTTATATTTGCTGACAATTTTGTGGAAAAAGTTCTTTTTCTGAGACTGGAAAGGACCTATAGACAATATTAATATAAATATATTTTAAGTTCACAATATGTCACAGAACAATATTGTGTGCTTTCAAACAATTTTCCCTCCTCCCCCAGCTGTAGGCAACTGCCTAGGTTGTCTTGTACCCAGGCAACTGTTACACTGCTGGGAGAAAAGCAGCAAGTAGCTGGTGGGCATTCTGGACCTGATTAACGCCAAATTTGTGTTAACTATACCAGTATGCCACCATAGTTACTTATGTATTGTATATTTAATTTTTTAAAGCTATGTAGGGAAGACAGGGAATGCTGACATGCTGCCACGGTCCCCAGGCGAGGGTGGCTGCAGATTGCCTGGGGAAGAGGGTTTGCGGGTGTAATGGTGCAGGAGAGGCTAAGGGCATGTTTGTCATGGAAGGAATGACTTCTGCAGTTTTCCATGAATTGGGCCACTGCACTTGCAACTTAGGTGAGGGAGCTGAGATGGAGTGGTTTCTAGAGGGGAGAACCGGTGGGCATGTCTAGGTCTAGTCAAGACATCTGTCCTTGTAGGAGACCTGGGTTGGGCTAAATAGCATCGACCATTTCCCTTTGATGCACACAAAAGCCAGGAATGGGAGGCATAGCTGACTGTGTTAGGATGCAGTACCTGTCTATGGGTGTCAGAGCAGAGGTGGACCACATTTGGGTCACAGCACCTATTAGCACACAAGAGAACCAGATCTGGGGACAGATTCTATTTTGACTTTTGAGAGGGCTCACTTTGTGGGTCTACAGCATCTGCCAATTTATGTGGAGAGCTTGGTGTGGTGACTGGTTGAGCCAGACTAGTCACACAACTCACCTACAGGAGCCTCCTGACACTCACAGGAACTAGGGCTGGAAGGAGGTCAAGTGGTGCCAGGCTGGAGTGCCCAGTGATACATGCAAAGGCCAGGACTGAGGGCAGATCATGCCAAGCAGGGCCACTGCACCTGCTAGCACGTGTGAGATCCATGTCTGGGAGCAAACCTTGTAGCGGAACTTAGGGAACTCCCCTACTAAGCCACAGCACCTGCTGGGGAGCACAAGAGCCTAGGCTGGGGACAGGCCTGGCCAGCCAAGGCTGTAGGACTCATCAGCATTTGTGCGTGGTTGGTCTGGAGACAGGCCAGGTTGGGCCAGCCCTTAGCACCTGCTGGCACACATGAGAGCAAGGACAGAGTGTGGGCTGCTCCTGGTTGGGCTAGGCTGCCACACCCACCAGTGAAAGCTGAGACTGTGGGCGGGCCATGCCAGGCTGGGTCTAAGCACCCACCAGTATAGGAAATGCCCAGGACTGGGAGTAGGCCTGCTAGGGGAATTCTGGAGACTCCCCGGATGGGTTGCAGCTCCCACTGGTGAGTGTGAGAGCTAAGGCTGTGAGAGGACAGGCTGGACAAGGCTGCAGCACCCAGTGGAATGAGTGTGGCTGTATCTGGCAGTGGGTAAGACCACACTGGGCTCCAGTACCCATTAGTGCTTGTGAAAACCTGAATAAGTGTGGGGCTGGGCTTGGCTAGGCTGCAGCACTTGCTGGAATACACAAGATCCGGGGCTGGGAGCAGCCTGGTAGAGGAACTTGGGGAACTCCTCTGCCAGGCCATAGAGAACCACAGCTGAGGGCAAGGCAGGGCAGGCTAGGCTGGATTGCAACGCCCATTGGCATATGTGAGTTGGGTCTGAGGATGGATTGGGTTGGGCCAGCCCATAGCTTACATTGGCATGCCCATAAGTTACAAGAGCCAGAAGAGGGCACACACCAGGCTGAGTTGGACCACAACATCACACGAAGGCTGGGCATAGGCCAGGCTATGCTAGGCTGCTATATCCATTGGCAAGAGCTGGGACTAAGGGCAGGCCAAGCTGAGCCATTGTAGTAACTGCTCACAAATGCTGAAACCGGGACGGGCTATCTCAGATTCAGTTGTAGCATCCGCTGATATAACCAAGACCCAGAGCTGGGAGTTCCCCCAGTAGGGGAACTTTGGGGAACTTCCTAGTAAGGGAACTTGCTGGGCTGCTACTTCCACTGGTGAATGTGAAAGCTAGACTGGGCACAAGCCTTGCTGGGCTAGTTCACTGTACCTTCTGGCATGCATGAGAGCCAAAATAGGTTCAGGTCAGTCAGGCTAGGGAGCCGCACCAGCTGGCAAGTGATAGAACTGGGTGTGAGTCATGTCAGGCTAGACTGCAGTACTACCTGACAGGTACAAGATACAGGGCTGGGAACATGCCTGGCAGGGGAATTGTGGGCACTCCCTTGCTTGGCTGTACCTCCTTCTCATGAGCATGAAAACCAGGGCTGGGGATAGATCAGGTGAGACAAGGTGGTGATACCTATTGGCATATGTGAGGGATGGGTATGGGGACAGGTTGGCCACAGCTACCATGGGTGTGCCTGAGAGCTAGATGAGATGTAAGCTGGGCTTAGCTGGGCTGCCGTAGAGGCTGGCACATGCAAAAACTGGGGCTAGGGGTGGGCCTGGTGAAGGTTTTTGGGAGTTGCCCCAACTAGGCCACAACACCTGCTGGTATGCGTAAGGGCTGGGTCTGTGGTGGGTTGGCTGGGCTGGGTAGCAGCACCTGTCAGTTCATGTGAGGTATGGGCTGGGGCAGAACTGATCAGACAGCATCCACTGGTATGTGTTGGCTGGCGTACACAAATGTCAAGTTGTAGGTCACCACCCCAGGCAAGATTTCTTGAGGTATTTCTGACTAGACTGCTCAATTCAGATCCCTGACACCCCAGAAAAATCACAGGATGTGTGGTCCCAGCTTGCCATGCATGTATAAAGACTGGACCTCTTCAGTTGCTGATGCCTGTGCAGTGGACAACATGACCACGTGTATATAGGAGCTCATCTAAGCCAGCAGGGGATGCCAACTGCCTCACCAGACAATGGAAAGTAGAACAGGTTGGACAATTCTCCTGGCCAAGCTAGCGGCATGTGCCTGGGTCTGTGGTGGCACTAATATAGACTTTATCAACCAATAGACTTTGGAAAGATTTTCTTAACCCTGGTGCAATGAAGCCAACAGCATCTCAGAATAACAACACTCTTAGAACACTCTTCCCAACATTGAGGTCTTTAAGGTGTCATCAAAAGACTGTCCTCCATCCCCAGTTGCTAATTTAGTTTGACAGCAAGCGGTGGCTCCCTCCCCATCCTTCCCTATGGACATACGAGGAAAAAAAAATCCTGAAACATTTGTCCCACTCACTTTCCTCCATACCTTACCCTCCGCACTCTAACTGGGGGCCTAACTGCTCATCCCTCTTAATTATATAAATATTTAAAAAAATAAAAATTAAAAATTTCCTTCTTTTGCTTACTCATCTAGCTGGTATGCTCAAGTTCCCTTCATGAGCCTTATTAAAACCTAGTGGTCTTTTTCTTGGAACTGCATCAAGCAGTAGCCTCCATTAGGGCTGGGAACTTTCTGAGCAGAAGCTGCAGGCTTAGCAAGTAGAAAGAGATTACAGTCAGTAACAGTGCCACAGCCACAGTCTGAGACAGAAAAAGCTTAGACTCTTATAGGGATCATGAAGGAATGGAGGCCTTATCTGTTTTATCTCTCCCAACAACTCTTTCAAAAGACAACAAGTGACTACAGAGCACTAGACAGCTTTCTGGCCACTTCTGAGGACATTTTTTGAAAAAATTTGTAATTTAAAAAACAGGAAAACATTTGCCAAAATCCTTTTTCCTGGACAGGAGGTAAAAAGGGAGGCACAGATTCTGTGTTTGCTTTCTCAGATAAACAAAACAGAATCAAGATGTTTTCAGTTATCAGAGACACCAACAACAGTGCTCACATCCTCCAATCACGCACGTGGTCTTCTACAGTTTATGGATAATCCTGTGTAATGCTGATGTAATAACTTCACATAGCGGCTGTTTCTGCCTCTGGAAATAGGATCATGATAGGGTCTAACTCACAGGCTTGGTGTGAGGATTTAATTAGCAGCCTCCGCAGATGCTCCTGTCCTATGCCTTCCGGGGGCTCAGTGCTCTGCCTCCTGGCTGACGAAAGGCTTCCTTCCACCAACGTGGTCAGTTCCTTCCCTCCGTGTGCCAGTTCGACCCTTCCTGTAGGGGTGATCATTATTTTCTCGCTCTACAGCGGGCCTCTCCACCATTGTACAAACACATGTATAGGCTTTTACGGAGCAAACTTTCTTCCCATTGGTTGCAGGGCCAGCTTTCTGCTGCCCCTGGCAGCAGCATTTTTCTCAGAGAGGTCACGTGTTTACACGGTTGGCAATTTCTCCTTCCATACTTTCTTAAACCCACTATAATCGGGCTTCCTCGCTGCCACTCAGGAAAAGCTGCTCTTCTCAGCATCATCAATGATCCCAAGCTGTGAAGCACAACCTTTAGTCCTCAGCTGTATCAGTAGTTTCATTCTTACACAGCTGGCAACTCTTTGCCTCAATGCTTCCTCCTCTGGCCTTCTAAGACACCACCTTTCCTTGCTGCTTCTCTTCCACTCACTCACATTCCCTTCTCTGACTGCTTCTTTGTTTTAATTTTAAAATGCCTCGTGCTTGATGCTTGTCCTGTTGGTTCTCATCCTCCACTCATTGCTTCTAGTCTCTGGGCTTTAGAAACCAGCTAAGGGCTGATGCCCACAAATACACAGTGAAGCGAGACTCGTTCTGTGTTCTTTGAAAAGCCAGGAAGCGTACAATATTTCACTAACATCTTTGTGGATCATAGCCCCCTTTATTCTTTCACCTCATATCTTGACTCTATCCTCATTCCTCACATCACATTAACCATTCTGGCCTCCTGGCTACTCTCTGCACATGCTCTTATCTGCCTGGAAAATGCTGTTCCCCTAGATACGCACATGACTGCCTTCCTCCAGGCGGTGCTAAAGTATCTGCAGCTCACCTGACTAAAACTGCCACCTAACCCCACGAGCATCACCTGGGAACATCCTTTCCCTCACAGACCCCATTCTTTCAACTGATTTCTAAAATTACCTTTATTAAAATG